TCCAGCTTTCAGTCAGTCATCTGTTGTGGGCCTTCACAGCCTCCATCATTACATGAACTGATCCCTCTAATAAATTGCTTCTCATCTATCTAGCTCTGTACACACAATATTATATATAGTTAAGGCATGGTAATCACTATTGTTGATTTCCTGAGTTATATGGTGTAATAAACATCATAATGACCATTCATTCTCATGTCAGAAGGTTTTCTCATCTGGAAACCCATTCTAACTTAGGGCCCTATGGTGGGAAGGTCTGTTTGAGGCAGGTGAATATCTCCTATAACTCAAAACGTGCTTTTTATCAAGTTGAAATTGACCTTATTATTATCTGTAAGGAAGCATTCCCTAGCAACTAAAGATTTGTTGAAACAACTTCTTTCCCTCTCTAATTTGCCTCAAAGCCTCAATACCTTTCAATTGTAAATTAATAGGCCATTTCTTAACCTCTACTTCATTTTTTTAAGTGGAGGAAACAATATCCGTATTTGTAAAAGACCATATCTATATACGAAGATTCACAAGAGTTCACTAGGGGTTCTGATTCAAGATACTGATATATTAGACATCTTATTATTCTTTCCTTCAGGAAACTGACTGTGAATGTTTGTGAATATAATTGTGAATGTTTGTATCTTAATACAATGGGGGCCAAAATGCCACCTGAAAAGGCCACTTACTGCAATGAAATGGAATCAGAACACAGCTATTAAAAGTAGTTGTGGGTATATGGTAGTCTCCTAGTGATTTGAAAATTAGCATCAATCACACATGATGAGAAATAACTGTTCACTTTGGTAGTCAATACAGAAACTATGAGTCTGTCACTTAATCATGAAGACTAGGGAAAACTGATCACTTTACATGAACTTTAGATTCCTCATTGGAAAAAATGTGGATATCAATTAATTTCTGCCATAGTAGATATTCTGAAGGCTGCGAAGTAATATATAGACACTAGAGATTCTTAAGGCTTATTTATCCGTAGATGATACTGATGTTCATTAGAAATGTTTGTTTCTATCTATTCAAAACTTTTAATTATAAAGGGACATATAGATAAAATATTGCATTGATAATTATAATATCACAGGATGGGTCAAAATATTCTCATTGATAGGAAGAAAAGTACAAAATGAGGGTGCCACATATCTAAACCACTTGTAATTTGGTGAGTTAGAAGCATAGGAGGATTACTACAGCATTTCATTGCATCACAAATAAGACCTTTCCAAAGCTCCTGAGATTTACTGTCCTTTAAAGTAGAATTGTCCAAGGGACAAAGTCAAAACATAAAGTTTAACAGTAAGTAAATGCCAAGAACTGAGATTAAGAGCCTAAAGCACTTGCTTAGCTATGATTTCATGTGATTTTAAGGTGTATTCGACAAAGAAATATTTTTGCATTTTACATGTTATGGGAATGAGGCTCTGATGGATTAAATGAGTTGTACAAAGCCACATAAAAATGATTATTAGAGGTAGAACTTGAATTAGGTACATCAGGTTCATAATCTTCTACCTTGATTTTTTTTATTTCATATTGTAGAATGCTGAGCCATCAAGCTTAGTTTCCTTTCAAATGGCCCCAGTTTTTACTTGTTAATTTTCTAATAAGTAATTTTTGACACAACTATTTGTGAACTCTACATATTTACAGATATTATTTTGGTTAAGTAGCACTTCTAGGTATGTATCTAATTTTTTATCATAGTTACCACTAATACTATTAGGATTATTGTCATTATTATTGAATACATGGGGATACAAGTGGTATACCAAATGATCTCTTATTCCTATTCAATGCAAAGCTCATTATCTAAACAAGTAATCACACACATATATACATTCAATGGTGAGTTGCAGAGTACTAAGAGACTGTAAAAGGGAAAGTTGACAGATCGTGCAACTCAGGGAAGTCCTTCTTCAGGAAATAATTCTTGAGCAGAGATTTGAAAACTGAGCTAGTGCTACCAAGACAAAAATGGGAATCATGAGCACTCCTTGGCATTAAATAATATAGCAGGCATAAGGGTCTTTAAATATACTAATATGGTTAGAGGAGAAGGAATGAGATGAATAGGAGATAAGATGAAGGACAATTTAGGCAGAAACCATGTGTGACTTTTAGGTCATGTTAAGTATTTCCTTGTTCTACTCAGAGATCAATAGAGAGTTATAATATTTATCAAGGACTGTGACATAATCAGATCCTGATTTTGAACAATCATTGTGATTGCAGTGTATAGAACAAAGTGGAAGAGGGTAGCTGTTGATACAGGCAGAATAGTAAGGTGACTGCTACAGCACTACAATTAAGAAATAAAGATATCTCACCTAAGGACATGGAAGTTGAGATGGAGGAAAGTACAGACTTAAGAAATTTTGGGGAGACAAAATGAATAGGCCTGAGTAAAAAAGCGGGTATGGGAAATGATGGAGAGGGAATTTCAGGGATGATGCCTTGGCCATTGTTTGGTGACAATTAAACAGCTACCAAAAAATGTGATCAGGATCTGGAGGAATGGGCAAAACTATGGTTTTGACTTGAGGAGTTTGAGGAGATTTTGAATCATTTAACAGGAATTATTTAGGAAGTAGTTGGATGAATATGTCTGGATAGATAAACAAGCATATATTTGTGTATCATTTGCACAAAAAAGACAACGGAAGTTACATTGTCATATTGTCTAAGAGAGTACAGTATGAGAAGATAGGTCTTAAAATATAGTCTTTAGGAAATCCAACTTTAATAGACCAGATAGAGAAATTTATGGCTGCCAAGGAGATAGAACAGAAGACAAACTGGGAGTTCATTGTGTCACAAGAGGAAAGTACTTCAAGAAGGAAAAAGCCAGTGATTCTAGGTACCATGGAAATGCCAAGTAAGGTGAGAATAGAAAAATATCTTTTGGTTTTAGTCACAAGGAATTCATTGGTAGACTTAATGAGAGAGGTTTTGAGGATTGACTGGACTGGAATCCAAACTGAAGAGAGCTGAGAAGTAAAATGAGGAGGCTGGACTAAATCCTCTCTAAAGTCCTTTGAACTCTAAAATAATATGATGTCATTTCATTCTGCTGTCCAGAGCCTCCTTTTGTCACAAGTTACTTACCCTACTCCTGTTTAATAACATATCTCTGTTGTTGAAAGAAGCCTTTGTTAAAGAGTGTATGATTTAAGCATCACTAGAACCTTAAATTTGAAATAAATCATTTTTTCTACTTTTACATCTATATTTTGGAAAGAATCTTGAGTACAAAAAAAAAACTCAAATGATTTTTCCATGTAGCACCAATTAAGGAAAGATATTCCCAAGAATTTCTTTTATTTTGGGGGGTGGTCAGGACTGCAGGGATAAAATCAGGTCTAGAGTTCCCACATGAATAAATTTGGAAGTGCTGCAGCTGATTTGAAGCTACAGTCCAGGAATGTCTCACATTATGCCATACTATTTTTCTTTTAAATCGAATAACTTTTCTAGGCTTTGAGAGTTAAGGAATACATCTAAAGAATTGATTTGTATGTAAGCACAATGCTTAGGCAGTGACAAACATTCTATCTTGGTGGCATAGAAATCTGGTGAAAGGGCATATAAAGCCTTGCTACTCAAAGTGTGATCTGTGGACAAGCAGCATCAACTTTAGCTGAGAACTTGTTAGAAAAATTTCAGGCTCCAATCCAGACCTATTGTGTCAGAATTTGTGATTCAACTGGATATTTAGGTGACTTACATTAACATTAAAATAATTTCTCATTTTTTCTCACAATCTATAGAATTTTTTTGTTACTTTGCTGTGAAACTTAAACTCATCTAAGGACAAGTCAGTCATTTATGGACTAAAAACTAATGATATTATTCTGTTTTAATATTAAGTCCAGTGGCGTGTCAATGTGACTAATGTATACACTATGTATATATACATATTTCACTAATGTATATTTCACAGACAAAATGTAATTTACTCACTCAGTTCATGGTAGGATACAATTTTATTTCCCTTTCCCAAAAGCTACTAAGTGTGTGCATTGAGCTATCTTCCTTTCCTCTTTTCATTAATACTTGCAAATTTAATTTGAGATAGCAGGGTTACCTGTTGTGGTTTTGTACTACATGTATAAACATCCACTATTTTCAGTCTCTTTAGCTAACCGAGAAGTTCTACACTTTATTTTACGACCCTTTGGGATGATTAGAATCTGGAAGGGGCAGAAGAAACTACACTCCCAGCCACTTTTTTTGCTCCATTGCTATCATACAGCCCTGTCCTAACCTTTAACCAGAGCAGATTGCTACTGCCCCCTGCTGGCCAATTGTCTTTTCTTCCCTTCTCTACACATCTGTGACTTGAAGAGAATGTCCAAGGATTTTGAGCAACTGAAGAAAGCTCAGTGGAAGGGGCTTTCCCTAGTACAGAGGCAGAGAGATCCTTTGAGAACAAGTGGCTAAAATCAGACTAAAACACTTAAGAGGAGAAGAAAGCAAAAAAAAAAGGTTTCTAAATTAAGTTAACGATTTCCAATGAACCTTTTTTCTGTACACCAAGGAAATGTCCCTTCCTTTTCAGCACAGAACTTCTCTTTTGCCTCTGGCTTCCACCGACAAGGAGTGAATTATTCACACCCCTGTTACAATTTCAGTACTCCGAATACTGTTCTCTTTTTCCACAATTTTCTATCCCCACGCCTGAACCTTATTTATTCCCTTTTCTCTTCTGCTCCAAACTCCCGTCCCGCCCACCCACAGGCAGACTAGTATTTCCAGGAGCTCAGACCCCAGCCGCTCTCACCCTTCCCCTCTTCCCCGACCTCGGCTCTCCCTCTGTCATCATCGGACCCCTCTGCCAAACGACCAGTCAGTCACTCTTTGCCTCGGAACGGCAGGCACGTCCCCTCTTGATTGCCTCTCCCCGACCCCCGCCCCAAGCTACTGAAAAAGGAAACATGCGCACTTCAGAGCTAGGAGCTGTCCGAGTGCTGAAATTTATAGGCTGGGTAAGATCACGTCTCCGTCTCTTTCTGTAGCCCTCATTCCAGCACAGGATCTCAGTGACTATCCCCTCTTCCCCCTAAACACTCCAGCGCGCAGAGTCCTTTCTTTTCCCTCATTTACAACTTCTTTTGAAAAGAGAACATTTTCCAGAGAAAGGGGCTTTTCTAAACAGAAAGAATATAAGACAAAAGCCACAGCAACCCTACTTTCAGCATGGCATTGTCACCAGCCCCCTTTGCATGGTGATGTGATTAAGGTAGCAGCATTTTTATTATTACTATTACTATTATTATTATTATTATTATTATTATTATTATTATTATTCAGGAGAAAAAGCTGGGGGATTCATCAGTTGTGAGGCTTTGTCTTTCCTGGGGTAACTGATGGTCCCGAGCCTCGGTTTGACCTGACCATGATACCCAGGATTGGCACTTTTTGTTTTTTCTCAGCAAACTGTACAAACCTAAATCTCTTTTTGATTTTCAAGGAAACTAGATTCCTGCCAGATTTTGAATCTGGACAATAAAGAGATACTTTGTCTAGCTTCTTTTTGGAATCATTTCGGAATATTTTCCACAAGCATCACAGAAACAGGAATGAATCGGCAGCTAGTGAAAATTTTGACAGCCTTGTTTGCATTTTTCTTAGAGACAGACCACTTCAGGTAGGTGAAACGACTTTGCATGCTGATATTTTCCATATGAAAACTGATTGAGAGAGAAACTGTCATGGAATTATCTATCTCTTCTGTGCCTTGTATCATATTATTTTAATTTTGTAGAGGACAGTTAAATTTCTTTTGTTCGTTTAAAAAGCTTAATTACGGTGGGAGGGTAATAAATTTTCAGAAAAGCAAGTTTTATGTTGTATAGCTGCACTCCATATATTTCAACACATATTTTCACAGCCAGTGTGATATTAAGGTAATCTGATGAGTTGCATACTCTTCATCTTTCTGTATAAGGTCGATATTTTTGTTCTCAAATTATTTTGGAAATCATTTAAAGGTATTATTGGGTGCAATGTTTTACACATGGTGGAAGGGGTTGTGTTAATTTGCCAAGAGTGTGCTCATCTTATGTAAAATATAAAAGAACCCTAATTTCAGCCAACTTGGGACTTTATTATATTTCGTCAACTAGGAAGGAGCATACTATGAGAACTGAAATTCGGGAATTCTCTTGGAACATCACAAATGTCTTTTTACCAATATATTCTACTGTTTAGTCTACTGGGAAATTGATTACCTACCAACATTCAATGAATATGACATTTTTGTATTTATGTCTGTATGGCAAAGGAAGTGTGCAGAGTTAAAATAGTGAGAAACAATTACTTGCACACTTTCATTTCTACATAATTTACTAATTACCAAATCAATTGATACTTCAGGGTATCAATTTAAGTACTAGTAAATGAAATAATCATCTAACGGCAAAGAGTTGAAAACAGAATAGAGAGAGGAGATGCTCTTACAATAGAGTAGAGAACTCTTTCATTAATTTTTCACCCAAATTTCATGGTATTTTTTCACAGAACCAGGAGAAAAGGAACACATAGAAATAGTATTGTGAATAATGGGAAAACCCACTATGCTCCTTTCAGATTCACACCTAGGATTAAGAAAGATTGTAGGCTGGGTGTTATTAGAATCATCATCATCATCATCATCATCATCATCATCATCACTACCACCACTATCATAATCAAATACTATTTGATTAATCAGATGAATCTGCTTAGGGAATGTGAGTATTTCTGGACGATTGCATCAATTTTTAACTCCTACCAAATGTTTATATCATTTTTGCACACTTCTTCTTTGAAAAACAGGAAAGAATGTGTCTTCAGTGATAGAATTAACAAGACTATTTGTTAAACTATTGAAAACAAGCCTGGTGAAACATATTCTTCACTGAAAGAAATCAGCACAATCAATGACTATGAATTGTATTTTATTATAAATCAAAATGTTTTTGATAAGCACTTTATTACTTTTAACACAGATATGATAATCTGAGAAATTTCCTGGTCAACTTTTTGTGTTTTGGTTATGGAAAAGACAAAAGTAGTTTAGAACTGTTTTTTAAATTAATACTTTATTGGAGAGTCAATAATTTAAATGTTCACATATAAATAACTGATAAAATGATAAAAGTAAAAGACAGGCTCATTCTTGACCTACTTTAAAATTAAGTTAAAATTCCAAGTAAAGATTCTCTTTTAAACATCACACTGGGAAATATTAATAGCTGATAAATGGAGCAGAATCTAGCAGGTGAGAAAATAAGCAGTATGATAATTAATTGCACTATTTACTTTGTTCAGGCCATCTTATGTATTTCCTGCAAAATATTTTTAAATGTTAAATGGTGCTATGTATATTAGTGTAAAACAATGTTAATTTACTCAGATTTTCAGTTTTTACTGCCTGATATGTCTGTGTAAGAAGCCAATTTTTGTATATTGTTACAATTTCAGGTTATTTATATTTGATGTTTTGTAAAACTCAAATTAACAAATATACTGTACGATGGATGAAATAAATGGCATCTGCATAATTGTTAAAAAAAATTTAGTGAGTAATGCTGGAACAAATTTTTTAAGTTATGATTTTAAGTCACTACATGAATTTAAAAATCATGTTCTTCTTTTTTCTTGACAATCCTAAAAATAAGCAGCTTCAACTAGATGTCCATAAAATCTACAGGCTCAATTTATAGGCTTTGTCTGATATCAAACATGTTTAAAGTTTGGAAACATGAGAGATATGACTCAGGATTTATACCTCCTGTCATTTAAAGTTACTTTAGACCATGTACAAGTTCAGAAGTTGACCAAAGAGTTTGTATTTTTCTATTTTTCTTCTTGCTAACATATCAAATGTCTTTACCAAGCCATGATGTAACTATTTTGTGAGCATTGTTTCTCAGGGATTGAGAATGGAATTGTTGCTAAAACAGTTAATGATGTTTTTAGGGCAGTTTTCTGCAAAGATCATGACACCAGGTCTGGCAAACAACCTTCGCAGACCCTATCTCCTTCAGATTTCTTGGACAAATTGATGGGAAGAACATCAGGATATGATGCGAGAATCAGGCCAAATTTTAAAGGTAAATGTCACTTAAACTGATGTTAAAGGCTTCGAGAAACCTTCTAGATGTTTGAATAGTTTATTCTGACAATAGGTTTATAGGATTTTTTTTTTTTGCAAAATGGAAGCAACAAGTATGATATTTATTTTACTTTGCATTTTTTGAATTAGTTACTAATTGAAATATCTTAAATTTTACCTGTTACTTGCCCTGTTTAAAAACTTTTCTCATTCCTACCCTGTTCCAGAAATAACACCAGTGGCAGAGATTATTGCCACTGCCCCACCCCCTTTATGTGGGAGTGTGGCTGGAAGTGAATACAAGAGGAAATGTTGGCCTTGACTGACATGAATATCTACCAGGGTCCAATGATAGACAGACACAGTGGTTTCACCAAAATATTTGGTTTTTATTTTAAATATCTACATCAAAGTGAACTTTGAATCTCAATATAAGACATGCCATTTTTATACCCTTTCAGTCCTCTTAAATTTTATAAGTTGTGAGGCTCTAATTTAATACAGAAATTTTTGATTCCCACTTATTTAAACATTTTTATTATTTAGTTGAAATTATTTACTTGAAATTAATAAAGATTATAAAATGGTAAAATGCACATGTAAAAGATGTGCACTTTCTTTGTTCAAATAGAAGCAAATGGAAGAGATTCTGTTTTTGTTTAACATTACAAAAATGTACTTAATAATCTGTACAAATCATTTAATCCATTGTGTTTATTTTTACTCTCAACCAGAAAAACTAATAAGAATCAATTATTAATGAAATTAAATTATTTTATGCTTTCATTTTTAGATACATATTTTAAATGGCAATTGCCTTTTAACTTATAATTGAATTTAATATAATGCCTTGTGAAGTGTTTGTATTATTTTATAAAATGAGAAATCTACAATATTCTAGATATTATGTAGTAATTTATGCAGTTTTGGTTTTGCTTATTAACAGTTTAATTGCTTTGCTTTCCTTGAGTTTTGATTAATTTTTATTATTGGCAAATGTAAGCTTGAAAACTAGACTTTAAGTTCATTTCTTCATTAAAGTGATACACCTCTGAATATACCCAGCTGTGGGCACATTTCATAAAGAAATATGTCAGAATTTTGGTAAAACAAGTGTTTTTATGATTTTAGAGTACTTCCAAAAGAGACAAAAGAATCTTTCATTTCACCCCATTTCCTATAATTTTGTATTCATTGCTTTGGAAGTCAATGTTTGAAATAAAATCCTATGACCAACAAGCCAAGAACCAACTTTCAATGGGATTGCTCATTCACACATTTAATCAACAACTTTTGAGTCTGAATTATATGCAAAATACTAATTTTTGGGTGCTTTAGAAAGTTGAAAGATAAAACAGGCTCATGTAGTTCCATCAGAAATTTCAGTGGGGAAGAGCTATTACATGAGAAATAGTTAAGTACCAGCAGGAACAAAATATTATACAGAAGAAGCACTACATGCATGCAATACTGCTGGATTCTATGAAATGGAGAGATAATTTCTTATTAAGCAATTCATGAAAGATTTCATAGAGAAGATCCAGAATTTGAAAATTGTTCAAATTTATGAGCTATCTTTGATCACAATTATTACTCATTTCTCTCAAGAAATAATTTTTCAAATGAGCAAAAAAGTGCAAAGCATAATAAATCAAATACCTATGATGCCTTTGCAACTTTAAATGATCACACAGAATAAGCTTTCAGGGGTTTTTTCCTAATTCTTCTGGGGATATCACCCTTTGAAAATAACATGTACTAAAGGATAAATGAATGAGGAGAAAGTCGAGTTTAGCAAAGCATTGCCACATTTTTGTGGTCTATCAACTACATAAAGGCCTAAATACAGGGTATTTTAATGATTTACAAAAGAGAAATGGGGTGGACATGATTTCAAATTCTAAAAATAATGATATTCATTGAGTTTTCTCTTCCCTCTTTAACTCTCGACTTCAATTAAAACTGCTATTCCTTCATAAATTTTATTTATATAAACCATTTATATCAGATCAATTACTTGACATTAGTCAAAGTTCCCTTCATTTTAGGGAGCCTGGCTTTTTCTTTTCTTTTCTGTTTTTTTGGTACCAGGGATTGAACTCAGGATCTCTGCTTGCCAGGCAGGCACAGTGCCACTGAGCTACATCCCCGCCCTTGGCTTTTTGAATGTAAATGATTCTCCATTATTTTAGTGTAAAATCATTTCCACTCTTTTGTGTTCCCAAAGAATTTTGTAAGTATTCTGTGGTGCTTTTCCACATTTATGTTTTATCCATCTGTCCTGCATTGTATTTAAGAGTGCATAGATGTGCCTTATTTATAAATGTATATTCTTTATTTACATGAAATATTGATAGTATAAACAAAAGGTTCTTCTTTTCTCCAGAATGAGGAAATATAGACCAAGAGAGGGAAATACAGATTAAATATGAAGATCAGTGCTTTCAGTTAGTTATAATAAAAGTTGAGGGTGGGAAGTTTGGCAGTAGTTAAAATGGCAAACAAAAATGATCTTAGCTGAACTGAAGAAAAAGAGAGAAAAATCATAAATATTATGGAACTTGAAACATGAAGAAGACTAGGAAGAACCTAATAGTACTTACCATACTAATTTAGTAATGTATCAGTCAGAAAATTTACATAGGAGTTAGAAATGAATAGTAATTAGGAAATGCAATTGGACTAGAATAGTGATATCCTCCCTGTAAATGCCCAAAGGCAAATTGGCTAATATAACAATAAACATGATGATACTGGCAATGACAATAAAAATGATTAATACTAGTGATTAATAACAGTAACGGTGATTAATAAGACTATAGAAGGAAAAATTTCACCATAAAAATAAAAGCAAAAGCCACTTATGGGCTGTTGAAGTAAAGAGTGTGGCTATTCTAGAAGCATTATTAAATATTAGCATATTTCTCTTTTCCTTACTTCCCTGTATTAGCAAGAGAAAAATAAATAGATGTGCATAATTTTTCTTATTGGGAGAAATTTTTCCTGCATACTTTCAAGTCGGTAAAATATTGCATGTCTATTTCACATCTCTGACAGGTTCTGAAAGATGTCATAATGAGCACATACACAAGAAGAAATATGGGTGTATGCTAGAAAAGGAAACCAGAAATGATTCGGACTTAGGCTCTGTAATTGAGAGACATTCTTAGAAACTATAGAAAAAATAACTTTTTTGATGTGCCAAAGCACAAGTGTATAAACAAAGTCATGAGTCAGAGTTGCCAATTGAATTTTATCTATAAGATCTATAGAGACCTGGATTGGAACTTGTCAAAACATAAATTTTCCAAATCCTCACTTCAGATAAAAACACAAGCTATTTACAATTCCCTGATTCTAAAACCATGGTAAATGTTGATTGTATAATGACAAAGGACCCTCTTTCCTTACTTGAGGGATTTGTTTCATTTCAGTTGATTTATCATGGTGTTATTCCATCATCCTATCAGATACTCTTTTGTTGGTATTGTATCACTTTAAACATTAAGCTTTTAATGAAATTCTCAAACCTTGACAAAATGCATTTGTTCATTTTTTCTCTTTTTGCACAGACACATATATGTTTTGTTTGTAAACAATATTAGCTTAGGGTTGTATCCTGAATTTCACTTCAATGTGATAAAATATATTTTACCTCATTATTATTTTGGGGATAGGATCTGGAATAAATAATACCAAGAAATAATTATTTTCTCCACTTCTTAATATACACAATGCAAACTAATTTTTCTACATCTAGAGACCTTGCTTTGAAAGTGTGATGTAATACATTTAAACCTACATTTGCATGCATTATGGTTGCCTGCAATTTACAATGAGTTAGAAGCTCAAGATTTGTTTCATATACAGTTTATGTAGCATTAGATCCACTTCCATGAAACCAGAGGTTTTCATGTTTTGCTCCTTGAAAATTCTACTTTCTGTAGCTAAGTGGAACTCAAGTTCAAATGTGAGTCCCAAACCCTATAGGGTATGTCTGGACACAAATGTTTAGTAGGGACACTTGAAAAGGATGCTTTTGTCAGTTAGTGATACTGCAGTCCCAGCATGACCGTTTCTTTGATCATTCTGGTGGATGTGGGCATTTGACATAACTATGGACCCTAAAAAAGAGGACTAGAATGAGTATCTGAAGCATTAGCCTTCAGTGCAGAAAATATCACAAACCTTCAGACACCTGGAAGGGTAAGGCCGTGGTCATGCTGAGATTAAAATTTTATTAGGAACTGCCAAAAACAATTGGCTCAAGTATAAATTGCCTTGGTGTGGAATTATGTGGAGTATCTATTGGGAATTTGCCTTCTTCACATAGGAATTCCTATTCTCCCTTAATTCTGGATCTTCCTTAATTAACCAACAGACTTGAAGTAAGTTGCCCCTTAAGTGCTAAAATGAAAAAAAACACAATAGAACAAAGTCAGTGTTCAAGCACATTAGAGTTACTCAGAGAAAAATGAATTTTCAGGTGTCTATAAATGTCAAGCATGAGTCAGAGTTGTCAATCGTGAATACTTTTAAAGGATATAAATACAGCATGTGATTTTTGAGACATTATCTTTTAATAGTGATAACAACATCCATTTCAACTGGCTAGCCCTAAGCCCAATTGCAAGACAGTTGACATTTCCACTAGCGAAATTTGTTCTTGGTTGAATACATAGAAAATAGCTACCATTGGGGACCATTTGTTGGAGAAACTAGAAGACAACTAAGGGCAAAAAGAAAGAAGGAAATAAAATTATATAGCTGAAAAGAAGAATGGACTTATTTTAGGATAAATTATTATAAAATTACCTTGCAAAGTTCAAATAGTGTGCTTATCTATCCACTTTCCAATGTCTGGAGAAATATGTATGAATAGTATATACACAGACATACATGCTTGTATATCCATTATACATAGGAGATATACCAGAGAGTTGAAACACTGGTGGCCTCTGAGAAATGAGACTGGATGCCTGGGGTACAGGGATAGGA